AATATTTATGCAGTTGCAGTTTCAGCACTATAGTCATTAGTTTTCAATGGGATAAAGACAAAAAAAAATCATGGACAATATTATAATAAAACCTTTAGTAAAAAAATACACCGAGTGTTTATCAAATCTTCAGGTTAAAACATTTAACAAACAATGAAAAACACATTAAAACCAAAGCACCTTAGAATAAAGAGCAACAGATTTGATGTCATCAGACTGATGCTGTGATGTATTTTTGTTTATTTTATTTTACAATGTTGGCTTAGTTGATTTAGATCTTCAGCCAGCCATTTATTTATTTATTCAATGGTTATTCATGCGCGGCTCACGTAATGTTGCCCCCAGCAGTTAGGGGCCGAGATCTGGACTTTGACTGAGCGATTGCGACACCTTGATACTTTATTTTTTTTACCCGTTCTGCTGCAGATTTGCTCCTGCTGGTTTTGAGCTCATTGTCCTTTTACATGATCCGATTTTATCCAAGTGCTACCTGTCAGCCCTGGACATTTGGGTTACGGAGGAATTAGTTAATCACAGACTCAGTGACTGCAAGGATCCTACCGTTTGTGGGAACAAAACAAATCCCCGCATCGCTGGGCTTGACAGATTTAACGAGCTCTTTGGGCTGGTTTGGTGTGTTCGTCTTTCCCTACATACAACCAACAATCCTAAAAATGTCTGTCCAAACAGACATCATTCTTTTCGTTTTTATCAGATTTAACTTTTGCAAACCTATTTTTGTCATGCTTTGTATGTAAAATCTTCCTAGTTACACTTCAATTCAGTAACTGCATGTTTCAAACACATTTTATGTTCTGGTCATTTTCTAAGCATGTGTTGTAATTTTCCCCCCCCACACTTTCCTAAAGAACTTGAGATCTAATCTGTTTGAATATTTAAAACAGTGACTTTGACTTTTTATAAATAGTGAGTATATTCTCAGAGAATTAATTACAATAAAAACGCTGTGCTGAAGTTAGTCACAGTTCACCATCATTTTCTCATTGACTTAAAACACCAGAGTAGTGCAATAATTACACCAACGTAAATAAATCACAATGTGATCCATCTGCTTTAATTTAAAAACATTGAAAATATGCGCACTAATTGTAGTTCTATTTTCTATGTGCTTATGAATGTTGAAGTTTATTGTGGCTCGCGGCTCAGTAAAAGCTAATAAAATTATCCTTGCCTACTAAGTGAAAGCATGGCAGCCTTTACTCGGTCAGCTGGCCTGCGGTATTCAGCAACAGATGGGGGAGGGTCAGCTCTGCAGCTCAGAGAAAACTCTGAATGATAGGATGAGTATGATGGAAAAATACAACATTTGTGAAATCGCAACCACCTTGACAATAGTTGAGGCTTAATTCAGTCTAAAATATGTGTTTAATACGGTCAATTTATATTCGTCTTGTGTAGGGCACCTCCATAAAACACTGCATATTGCTTTGTTTTCACTAAATAACTTCAAAAGAGCTTAATGGGGAAAAGTTTGAATTTCCTTTAGACATCATCTTAACAAAAGTGATTTATTTTCCTCATTCATATTACTTGTAATGCCACATTTATTGAACTTAAACATACTTTCAAACAGAAAGAATAATATCCCTAAAACATAAACACATATAAAGATGTATTACTGCGCTAAGGAGCCAACATGAGAGCACCCTGCTCTGAATGTTATTACGTGGCTTTTCCAGGTGAATCCGTCGCCAAGCCAACAGCAGCACTGAGGAGACTAGAAATCCCCAAGAAGCCTGAATGACTCAGGAGCAGCAATGAGAATGTTCTAGACTCAAAGACAGCTTCGACTTTTTTATCAGGCTGTAGAGCTGAAGTAGGAAATGAAAGCAATACACGATGGAGCAGCGACATGTAACCACTTCCACGGTTCCGTCGGGAGTGTTATTGCTTCTTGCAGTTAGCGCAGCAAGCGCGTTCCCGTCAGCTGACACTTGTTCAGCCACACAGTTGGTCCGAATAACAGGCTAACTTAGCTCCCCGGCTAGCAACTGACTGGCTAGCCGGTTAGCAATTTCCAAATCTTAGCGCGATCGTTTCGTAGAGTGGGACATTTACAACGAGGTGGTTGCCGACTAAACGGCAACCTAACCAATAGTATTTCGATTTCACACAGCCGCTTTCATTCTCAGCAGCCCCAGTTAGCCGGTAAGAGTGGTGATACATGCTAATGGTTTAGCTTCCTAGCTGAAGTTGTGGGCATGACGTTAGAGCGCAACGATGAACAGTATCCGACCAACCTGAGTGACAGAAGCGTCCTCTGCGATGGCGATTTCTTCCTTGTCCTTGGGTGTTTTCACTGTGACCTTGATAATCGTCCCCTCGGAGGCTTCGGGTTTATTATTATTGTTGTTACCAAGATCTGGGGCGCCTTGCTCAGCCATCTTTACTCCGCCGATGGAACAGCTCGGATCTAACTTTCACTTCCGGTTCAAGCCAGGTCTGCCGTGGGGTTTTTTTTCTACTTTTCTCACCCACCCAGTCGGTCGAAGTAGTTCCTGTATGAGTTCATCGGTTAAAAGTTCACAAAATAAAATAATAATAACAACATAACAACAACAATAATAATAATAATAATAATAATAATAATAATAATAATAATAATAATAATAATAATAGAGGGATTTATTCTAATATTAACATTTAAGGAAACTGACCAAATTTAAACCACTAATCTAACTGTAACAACAAACTGTAGCTTTTCAATGAATGCATTTAATAAATCACATCGACAACTTACTAACCACTGCTACAAATTTTGAAGATAAAATTTTTTTTTAAACACTACTAATTGTACCTGTGTTAAAGATGTAGTAATCAATCGGCCAAGAAATTGTATACACCGATTTCCTTTAATTTAAAATATTTATCTTATTTGTAAACTGCATCACCACGAAAACGTTCCCCATTTTTGGTTTGCTGAGGAAAATCAACATTTCAGATGTTGACCCACTACACAATTTTACTTCACTTAAAAGCTAACATTTTGTCTGTTTAGATGGAAATAATTTTATTTTTAGATAAACCAATACTGAAAGCTATTTAAAAACCCACAAATCATCATAAGAATAAAATAGAAATAGGCTTTTTCAAATTCTCAAAGTGAGTATTAAAACAGCCTACAGTGATCCAATTCATACTCAGCTGTGGGTTCAACATGAAGTTTTCTAATTGCTTCACTTTGATTCTGTGAAGAAATGAAACAGAAATGCAGCCTATCGTTTAGAGAATATCTTTGTTCATCGACACCTTTCAAACCATCGCCCTTGCAAGAGTTTCCACAACAGTTCGATGTACTCAGTTGACTTTAGTTGGCTTAATGGATCATTAAGCCATTAATGCGATCCCTCTGCTCAGTTGCTAAGTGTCTAATCCCCAGTCTTTCTGTTGTGAAACAAAAAAAATATTGAAATATATCTGTTAGTATATGAAGACATATAATAACAGATTGTGAAGATTCGGAAAGTTGGTCCTTTTGCTCTAATTTAGGGTTAAATTAACACGAACGCTATATGAGATTGATAGTTCCACTCTGGCTAACTAGAAGTAGAACTCTCTAAATACAAAGATTAATTCAAAAATAGGTTGAATTTGTGTTACTGAAAAACTCTTATTAAAATACTTCTAACCAAAGATGAAATAGCAGCTTGTAGTTCTTTTCTCTTCCCCTTAGCAGGGAGGTGACCAGGAGGCGTCCCAAAGGCATCTGGGACGCCTCGTTCTATTCGTTGGCTTTTAACTGAAGCAGTTTTTGATATTCTGTTTTTATCTATTTGTGCTACTGTCGTTTCTGTGCAGCACTTTGGTGCAGTTCTATACCTGTTTTTAAAGTGCTATATAAATAAATTTGACATTGACATCTGGCTATTATATTCCATGCACAAGATTTATGAAATCTGTACATAGTTTATCCACTCTATCCAAATTCAAAGGCACACATAGAATTCATTCAGGTGAGGTTATTGCTCTCTGCTTTGCTGTTTTGATTTGTCCAGGATTTATGTTTTATTTGCAAGTTGTTGTTTTTTTATGTCCTACAATTAGTTTATTTGTGCAGTATTTGTAATAGTGTATTTCTTAGTGTTTTGCTTTTACAAAGTCAGATTTTCTTTCAATTTTTCATTGTGATTATTTTTCAGGCTTTACTAAGGGTGGTCTCTTTCCTGGTTGGAGCCACTAACAGAGGGGTTACTGTTATTCACTTTGTGTACTCTTTGCACTTTTTATTCCAAATAAAATGTACTCATAGTCTGAGAATTTGTGCTTGCCTTTTTTATGGACAGAACCATTGATAGAACTGTTGCTGTCATTAATATGTTGTATTCTCATTGGTATTTTATTCTATATTTAGAGACCTCCTGTGTAGTAGTCTTAGTCAATGATGGAGAAATTGCTACTCTTGACTCTTTGCGTTTTTCTCACTCATTAACATTACTCACTGCTCAGGTATTTTGAACTTAGCAAAGGGAGTCATTGACATGCAAACACCACTATAAATGTGATGTCCTCTGTTTGTTTTTCTTTTCCATAGTTGTCATAGATCAACGTTGCTTTGACGAGCTGTTTGTATTTCCTGGAAATAGTTCTTACTGTTCCAGGAGCTATTCTGTTTTCTTTCTTTGGTTATTACAGATTTTCTGATCCACCAAAACAACTCTTTCTTCAAGACTTATGTGTTTAGTCTAGTTGTTTCTGTTTCTAACGCTTACGTGAATTGTGTATGTTCTTATCCTTCTTTTTAATACAAAAAAAATAAGTAAAATGCTTGTGTTGAGCAATTATCTGTCATATACTGAGTCTTATTTAATACATATCTTCCAAGAATTAGGATTTTTATTCTTTGTTTTTTGTTCATGTGAACAAAAAAGTCAAGCATCTTGTCGGAAAGACTTGACAGCTTTGCAGTGTGGAGACAGACTTAAAAGCACTTAATATCAACAATAAAGTAAAGCAATTGAAAATTTATTTCTTTTTCATATGTTTTATTGGCAACTGAAAGTATTTCTTACAGTAACGTGCAGAAGCTGCTGTGCATTTGAATTTTTTTTAAATGTTTTATCAGATTTCAAACCCTGCTGTGTTGTCCTCACGCTGTGGAGCATTCGCCCTTTATGTGACGCCCCATTGAGGCAGTGCTGAAAGAAAAGTGTTTGTTTCAGCAAGTTGCATTGACACAGTTGGTCCTGCATACCTATGCACATCCCCAGTTCTAGAGTACACCATTTACAAACAAACAAATGTGCCCCTCTCTAAAAAAAAGAAAAAAAGAAAAAAGGTAAGGACCTCTACGTTACCCCTTCTCCAAGGCCCCATTAACCCTGTTGGGGATACACCAACATGTACAAATCACATACACTGTAAGGTTCTCATTCAAATGCAGCCCCCACAGGGAAACTGAGGGTAGTAAAGGATTTTGCCTCCATCAACAAAAAAAGAAAAGAGGACGACCTTTTGCCTGTATATTGTCTGTGAAACTCTCCCTCTCTCTCTCCTGGTAGCCCCCTCCCAAAGAGAGCAACAACCCACTCTGTTTTTCATTCTTTACCTCTGCAAGGTGGGAAGTAGAGAGCGTACGTTTCCAGAATCAAGGTAAGAGAGGGTATCTGAGTGGGTTTCCCTGCCTGTGTGTGATTGGACAGAGGCCTGCAGAATCAGATTTAACCTCATTGTACTCATGAGCAAATGCCTGTGAGGGTTTGGACGAGGAACAAGCAGCGGCATCATAATAGTAGCTTTTTATTAGGTTTGTTTCAGCAATGTCTCCAGTAAAGCAGAGGTAAACGTATTTTCTGGAAGTCTTATGTGCACTGATAATGTTTTCTCACAGATTCTTGAGGAGATGCAGCTTTGAGTGTAATTATTAGAAGTTGATATGCAGGAAAAATGTTTCTAATTTTAATGACTGACTTTGGAGTTGACTGTTTTAAAAACTGGTACCAAACCTTCCTCAAATATCTACGCATGTTTCTCACGTTTTGTTCTATAGCTCAGATCTTTTTGGAAACGATCTGAGCTAGGGGTTTTTGCTTTATTTGTCCCTTTCTCCAGCCTTTCCATTACAAGTCTTGGATAATGAGTTGTTAAAATGTATTAAATTTCAAGTTGGTGTCTACGATGTGTTTGATATTGCACAGTCCCTCTGCAGTGGCCCCGTTGTCTCAGCTCAAGATGTACAGCTTCATGGGTGGGGGCCTGTTCTGTGCCATCGTGGGCAACATCCTGCTGGTGGTCTCCACTGCCACGGACTACTGGATGCAGTATCGTCTGTCTGGAAACTACGCCCACCAGGGTCTCTGGCGGTACTGCATGTCCAACAAGTGCTACATGCAGACCGACAGCATAGGTAAGATCATTTCCAGCTTCAAAATTTTAACACTTTCACAAAGGCATAAATTGTGGATTTTTTTTTTTAAATGTTTCCAGTCATCTTCAAAATGAAGAATATGAATACTTATTTTAACATACTTTTCAAACTTTGTTGTGTGTCTTATCAGTTTAATAACATTTAAGTTCTGAAGATTTCTGAAGATACATTGATAATACAGGCACATTTGAAACAATTCAAAGAAAAAGCAAAGAATCTTCATATTTAAAACAAATAATCAGGCATTTAATATCAAAGCATGAGTGTAAAGAATTTGCACCAACAAGGATATTGGGTGATTTTTTTTAGTGGCATTTATTGGTCAGTAAATCAGATAAAGAGAGGACCAGCAGGCCCGAAATCGTTATTCGAACTCAGGACAATTGTGTCGAGGACTAACGCCTCCACACACGGCGCGCCTGTTCTTCTAACCTGTTGTTTTTGATATAAAATTATGTTAAGTTATAAAAACTGTATTTGTTGATTCTACTCTGTTATTAAAACATTGGGGACTGATCAAAAATGCCAACACAATGGCTCAGTTCAGCAGAGAAGTGATGAGTCAATAAGATATATTGGATGGTTAGATGACATAATGGGTTCCTGTTCCAATTAGATGATTATTGACTTATTATATTTGATCAATTAAAGTTTTTTGTACACTTTACTGCCCAAGTAGGTCCTTTGCACCCAGTACATGTCTAAGTGTGTGCATAAGCAGTGTGTGTTTGTGTGCTTCTCACCTTGCTGTTGCGATCCAGACAAGAAGGCCTTGCTGTGGGTAGTGAAGGGAACAGAAAGAGTCAATGGAATATCCCTTCTGGTTTTTGAACTTCTTCCCAAAGGCACATGATGCCACAGGATCAAAAGCAGAACCTCCAGACAGTCCTGCGTTTTGTTATGATTATGCACTTTAAGTTATTGCACTTACTGTAAATGTTTTTTTTTAAATTTCCTTTAGTTTCTCTTTTGAGAAACACAAAGAGAAACAGAATGCTGCCTTGTTTTTGTGTGGCAATGGTTGTACACTGGAATACCAATAAATGCATTAAATTGATTGGTGATAATGAAATAAGATTTCTACCTGTTCCTTCCAGCTTACTGGAATGCCACCAGGGCCTTCATGATCCTGTCGGGAATGTCGTGCTTCGCAGGCATCATCGCCGGCATCATGTCCTTCTCACACTTCTCCTCCTTCGAAAGGTTCAACCGCTCCTTTGCTGCAGGGATCATGTTTTTTATCTCCAGTGGGTTTCCACCATTTGCCTATAGAGCAAAAGACACACTCAACGTTTTTTAAATGTAAACGGACCATAGAGTATGACTGACATGAACTGTCTGATTTTCAGCTTTCTTTGTGCTGCTGGCTATGGCAATCTACACCGGTGTGACGGTGAACTTCCTGGGAAAGCGCTTCGGCGACTGGCGTTTCTCCTGGTCCTACATCCTGGGCTGGGTGGCCATGCTCATGACCTTCTTTGCAGGTGTGAAGTGACAAAACGCAACACCGTCTAAATGCTTAATTCTCAGAACAAATCCCATTTCTCACTCTAAAAGAAAGCAGCATTAACAGCCAGGTTGTTGCAAAGTTTAAAGTTGCCACACCGTTATATGTGCGGTCTCTTGCAGGCATTTTCTACATATGCGCCTACAGAATGTGTGAGTGCCGGAGAGGAGCCGGGCCACGCTAGATGTCTCCAGAACACAGAGGACTCTTAGTTTGGATCGACAAGCAGGAAGCGTCAGGGGAGTCACGACTGATCCAATGAAGATGCAACATCTGATGGAGATGCTCTCGCAGGTCTTTGGTGGTCTTCTCGACTTGTTAAAGAAAGGATGAAGGAACAAAGATTTTATTCTAGGAATGCTCAACATTGACAAACTTCAGGCGTTATTCGCCAGCAGATGGCAGCACTAACACAGCTGACCACACGCTCTTCCTTTAACACAATTGACTTGAATAAGATCAGATAATAAACACGTCATAGAAAGAAGATTGTTCATCATTCCTGTATGGCAAAAATGTGCATTTGTTTACCTGGATATGATGTAACAACACAGACAGATCCTTGTCTTATACGTGCAGAAGAAACTTTTGAGAGAGCATTCATTCTACAATTTGAAATTAAAACTGGCACATTTCTGAGGGCTGTACGTTTGTCTCATGAATTTTTTTTCTCGATAAGCTGACAAAAGTCATAATCAGCCATATGAAGCTGCGAGTTTCATGGGAAAGGCTTTACCTTCCACCCAGCAGGATGTTCCTTATCGTTTTCCTCGACAGATGATGCTTTGCACGAAGATTGATGGCGCACAAACAAAATGCAGCTAAAGGCCGGGGAACCTGGGCGGAGGGCTCCCACTACTGATTGTCTAACTACCCTTTTGTCAGTGAATAGCATTTCCTCCTTCTTCTTGGTGTTCGCTCAATTCTCTTCATCAGCAAAGAAGAAAAGAGAGCTGCAGCCGATGCAATGAATGCTTTGACTACTTTTGTGACGCAGAAACAATGACAGAAATGTAAACAAGTCCGGAGAAAGACTCAGCTTCCATACTTGGTTGAAGAGGCTGCTGGGAAGAGATAAGCTTCCTAATGGTGTCCGGAGTCTTTAGCATCGCGTTTTAAATCTTCCACAAAGGTCAGAGCCAAACGCCGCCATTTATTTTCAGTGACCTCTGCTCAAATCATGAGTGACATTTTATTTAATGCAGTTTGTAAAAATGTAAGCACATCAAACACTCGTTCTATGTTTTAACAACAAAAAAAAGAATAAATTTGGGTGTTAGAGACTTTTGTCGTGAAAAAGTGGAAAGATCCTGCGACTACAAATATTGAGCGCACTACATTTATTCACCATTATTTTATATAGTCGTATATGTAGTTGGAAAAAGGAATCAAAGAAAACTCAGATTGAAAACATGAACTTTGGCTGATTTTGTGAACAATTTGTTCTGACCTCCTTACTTCGTATGGAAGATAAACAGAGATGTTGGCTGCCTGAGGATAATAGGAACTCGTTGATTACTAAACGAAGCACTTTCAACACGTTGCTAAACTTAGAACAGTGACCAATGCATTACCACATTTTTCAGATACATTTAACTAAAAGCGACACTGATTGTGATTTTTGTTAAAACAGTGAAAATGGGATATTTTTTCCCCTACGTATGAAATTACCTACATGAAAGATTTTTTAAAATTATTGTTTCTGATAATGACTGCAATAAAACATAAATATGCTGTATTTTTGTATCAACATGTGAAAACAAATTTTGATATTTAAGTGGATTTTACACAAATTAAGATTTTTGTCCAACCTGATGTTGTTCATTCCCTGAATAGTTTTACATCTGTTTGGTTTCCTTCTTATTAAGTATAATGCAACATAACATTCAGTCTTCATAATGTAATGAAGACTTCATTCATTACATGAATGTAGTAATTTAAAGATTGTATAATTTACTAGATTGTATAATCCAAGTTTTTAAAAGTTTTTTCTCCCGGTTCTACTCTGGAGTTTTTGCTTTTGGTGATGGAACGTTACGCTGACACAGCAGGACTTATAAAAACTGTCCTCAGTCCGCAAACCCATCACCCATCCCCTCCCGTTCACTACAAATACAGGCACACAGAGATTTTACACTGGATAATCTATCTATGTCTTAAAAAATCTGAAATGAATATTTATTTCAGTCACTGCAGAGCTGGTTTTAGAAAGACATTTATTGAGGAGGTGAACACTAATCTGGGGTTGTTCCAAGTGCACACAGAACAAAAGACAAATGTTGTTAAAGCATTGCACAAGCAGAAGAATATAATTTACACATCTCGCCATAAATAAAGCCAACACACAAATGAGACAGATATGGATTATTTCACTCCAAATGCACAGCTTTATGGCGTACGTCCATTGAAGCTACAAGTGATGGGATGCAGCGATTGACAACATTTTGGAGAGAAATAATGGAAACAAGCATAAGGAGAGGAGAAATTTTTTCCCTCAATATTTATTATAAATTAGGCCTGGAAAAACTTGTGGAAATTAAATTTTTCCAGTTTGGGTCAAATCATAATTTCTTGGGTTTTTCTACTTTTATATCAGTTTATCTTCTGAATCAACTATTTTTTTATTATGTGAAGAGCGTAAAGACGTTTCGCTAAAGCTGAAGCTTCCTCATACATGTTTTGGCAGCTTTTGATCTGTTTCTGACTTTGCTCTTTACAACACAAACACACAGATTCAGGAGAAGACACGCAACCGTCCTATTAGTAATCCCTCCATTTTGCGATGCATTGCACATTGCTTGTCCATCCAGACGTTTCTCTGTGCTTTTACATCTTTCTGCCCATTCATGCCTGAAGCAAAGACGGAAAGACCTTAAAAGATCACAAGACGCGATGAGAGAGAAATATCTTTTGAAGACAAAGCTGAAGCTGGCCCAGGATGTAATCTAAGAAACAAGTTAATAACAAACTGAGCTTTCCTTTTCAAGTCTGGCGAAGCTGAATAAAGAAGAAATAAAGATAAAGGAACATTTAAAAGATAAAAAAAAGAAAGGTTGTTGTGTGTTTAATCTGCTTTTTGTTGAAGTAGTTTCACATACAGCGAAACATTCAAACCCCTTGAAACTTGTTACTGTATTTCTACAATATAAACACAAACCTAAATTCTGTTGGGATTTTGACAGATCAATGCATAATTGTGTGTTGGAAGAAACCTTACATATGGCTTTCCAAATTAAAAACTGAAATAGTGTGCATACGTTTATGCTTCACCCCTCCTTACTCTGATACCCACAAATAAAATAAAGCATGACTAACTAACTGTAGGAGTCATCTGATGAAATGGAGTCTACCTGAGTGTAACTCAGTTTCAATATAAATCTAAACTGTTCTGTAAAAACATCAGGCGTTCATAACAAAAACAAACTGCATCACTGAGACCAAGGAACACGGCAGACAGGTCAGGGAGGAAGATGTGTAGAAGTTAAAACATGAGTTATGTTATCAAATAATATTCTCTGAACATCTTACAGAGCGTTGTTTAATCCTCTATCCAGAAAAAAACATGAAAAGGATTTCCTGCTATTGGTGTCTGGCTTGTACGGAAAGTGGGAAAATTAAGACGACTGAGAGAAAATTGTAAAAATTAATGTTTTCCTGAAGCCGCGTAAGTAACTGCTCTGGTCAGAAGAGACCAGAACATCATCAAAGTGGGTATTTGCTGCCACTGTAAAGCATGGTGGTGGCAGTGTCATACTGCAGAGATGCTTTTCTTCAGCAGAAGCAGGGAACCTGGAGGAAGCAGATTTGAAACTGTCATTGAGGTTCCCCTTTGAGAACAATCACCCTAAATACGCAGTCCGAGCTACAAGGGAATTGTTTTAATCAAAACTAATTAATGTCTTACAATCGTCTAGTCAAAGTCCAATACTAAAGTCAATTGAGAATCGGAGCCAAGACTGACTCCAGAAATTCAGATATTCTTGTCCTTCTACTTCACAATTATGCTTTGGTTTGTGTTGGACTTCCACATAAAATGTTAAAATATATTGACATGAAAAAATGATAAAAGCTTTTGTGAATACTTGCGTGGCACTGGATAAAACATAGAACATTTCCAGACAAATACTGTGGCAGAGAGGGAACATTAGCAGCAGTTTTGCCATGTGATCCAAATGTTCATAGCAAAAGCACAACAGCTTCAAAGGAAAGAAAAAGAAGTGAAATGTGAGGATGTTTTTTACACAGTTGGTCTTAAAACACATATATAAAATATAACTTTAATGTACAACTGCAACAAAAAATAACATCTTGAACATAAACTGTAACAGCTTACAGAGAATCAAGTAAATTAAGACAATGACACCTGTTTCAGAGTTGCCTCTGTCTCATTAAGGCATTACAGTCTGCAGTCTTTTCACTGTGAGGATCGAGAATTGTTGCTTTCATTTGTAAGTGAATTGCTGCATTAAGGCTTACATTAGAGCTAAAGCAACCAGTTGTTTCACTAGTATGGTCATGTCACTTAGAAGTGTTTCTTCTTTCACAAACATGTCGACATGTTGAACAATTTCAAAATAGATCACCTTAAAACTCCTGTTGTCTTGATTCTATTTTTGTTTGGTTTTTGTTTTGGAAACTGTGTGAGAAGCCTGAGAAGTGTCCTCTATAATTCAAAGAAAAGGGTAAAACCTTGCTTTTTGTATGGCTGACAGGTTAATATCATCAGGTCATCTATGATATATTATCAGGTTGCATCGCTTAGCAGGGGAGTGTCCTTCTCACAGGGACTGATGTCTGATAATCTGCCTCTCAGATTTCCACTTTGCCCAGCTCTGGTTCCAGTGTCCGGTTTCTCTGGATTATAGATTTAGAGCTACCAGAGACTGAAGGATAAAAAGAGCCGATTGAACTTCTTCATCTATCATCGTCTTTGATATGAGCTTGGTCCAACAGAATGTTTCTGGATGTGTTGTCTTTGGAGCAGAGATACCTGAGGTGTGAGACTGCAAGGCAAAATCAAGATGCTTATATATATATATATATATATATATATATATATTATATATATATATATATATATAATATATATATATATATATATATATATATATATATATATATATATATATATGGTGACATTAATCTTGAGCTACAGAGAAAGTTTGTTCTAATGAAGAAGTGAATTAACAGTGTTTGCATAGACCCCCCACTGTAAAGCAAGCTTTTAGCTTTGTGTCCGTCCCAGACAGTTTGTTTCGTTAAAGGGACACAGTGACATTCTCCGCTGCAGAACAAAGAAAGCAAAGATCACCGTGGGGGAGGTTTCTAAATCATAAAAGTCTTCTTTTAAATGTGTCTGCGGCGATGGTGGTGATGCTGCATGTCCTCCATAGTGATTCTGCCCCAGACGCCGATCACAAATGCTTCGATCTCGCACTCATTTTCTCCCCGAGCGATGCGGAAGTAGCCGTTCTCGCCCCAATTCTTTCCCCAGGAGTTGGCAGCAATCTGACAATAAAATACATCATTCAGCAACTCCATAAACAATTTCAACCAATGATTTTTTTTTTTTTTTTTTTTACTTCAAGGGATGAATGTTTTCAGGTCAGAAACATTAAAAGCAATGACTGTGTTTTGGGGGGAAAAAGCAACATACCCAGTATTTTCTTGGTGTCCCATTATAGTCTCTGTCTTCTCCCCACCTGTGCACAAAGCAAAGCAAACCAAACGGTTTTAAGGTATTTTACCAGGATATTACCAGGATTTTAAGGTATTCCAAACACATGTATTGCAAACATTTCTATACAGCATGACAGTCCGGGTAAAGTGCATGCTAACTGCATGAATTATTTTATCTTGTCAACAACATCTTAAAATCCAGCTATTTATAGGTTTGTTGCTGTCTTTTCACACCCTGATGCTATTTCAATCCGAACAACATGGAATTTCCCGTTTTGCTGGGCATTTCCGCCCTCCACACATGGAAACAGGGGATAGGCCACCTCATAGGTTGAAACATCTAAAAACACACAGGCTCAGCATGTGACCCTTATCTTTACTCCTTGTGCTTGCCAACAAATTTACTCTGTGAACATCCTGGCATCAGCCCATGTATTCCCACTATGGTCTCCAAAGCGGCTGCCAGCCCCTGCAGTCTCTGCTTAGCATCATCAAAACATTCTCCCAAAGCCAATTCCCATCCTGTTTTTGCACTCCGGGCCTTTCATTTCCCAAAAGACTCCCGGTGTCCAATCCCTTGTTATCTTTTTATATAGCGAAGGAATGTGGGGAAACAGAGCGGAAGCTCGGACTCTCTGCCAACTAATACGCAGTGCCAGCTGTCCATCACCGTCTGGGCTTAGTGTTTTCTTAAGTGTGGTCAAACGTCGGCGTGACTGAAAACAGACGCTGCTGTATCAACAACATGCGGCGAGAGGAGTCTGAAACAGAGCAGGGAATCAAGGTGAATGAGGAACAAACACACCTATACTTATATGTGTGTGTCTGGGGGAGATCCCATGTGCATGCCTTCCAGCATATTTGCTGGTAGAGACAGAGCCAGACAGAATCAGACCAATACTTATCTCTTATCAGACCCACATTAAGCTCCCTCACTCATTCATGGACAATGATAGACATGCCACTGTGCCTGTGCGTATACTCCCCTCATCCCCGCCTTCGTACCCCTTCTCAGGCCGATTGATCCCCCTTTCTCTGTCCGGTGAGGTAAGGATCAGCGTCCCAGACAATGCTCTTTCCACCACGTTGGACCTCAATGCTCTTTTTGCAAACTTTCCCAGGCCCTGGGCTTAAAGGACACACAGCTACAGGATTTGGCCTGTGTAAACACACTGACGCCTGTGGCAGGTTTGGGCTGCAAAACACCACAAAACACCACAGCAGCCCTCAACTACCTCATCTCCACATGAACCTGCCACAGATACATCCACTCAACGAGAGCAGCACCGAGGAACAACAATGTTAGTGTCAGCTTTTACCACCAAAAAGTGATATAAAGAGAAATAAGTGATAATTTGGTCCATTTTGTTCTACTGCCCTTTTCAAACTTACTGTGCTTCCATTTTAAATCTGTGAAAAAGTCATTTGTCCACATGTAGATAAACCATAATGTCAATGCTATTTTGATGGTCTTTTGAGTTTTTTGATGAATTATAGGAGACATGCAGCAAAAGTCATCAGGCCAGGACTCAAACCTGTGAAGGCCTCTGTACATGAGTCGCACCGCTGCGCCCACATGAAGGATTTTTAACCTCAACATGTTATGCGATGGCCTGCACAACCACGTGGAAAACTGCAGACTTGACAGTGTTCTCCAGCAGACAGTGATTCCCTACTCTACAGCCATAAGTTTGTAACAGACATTGGTGTTAGAAAATGGCACACACGTTACAGGTATGACAAGAGCTTCGAGAGTCTGTTCAAAAGTTTTGAGGAGATTCCCAAAAGCTGTGGACTGAATAAGAGCCACCTCACAAAGACATGTTAAGGACATGAGCAACAACTGTAACACCCAGTAAGTAGATTTTGGATTTTTTTTAAAAAATCAACAGGAATAAGCAATTGAAATATATTACTCTGTGTTTGATTAATCAATATTTTGATTATGAGAAGCATTTTTTTCAATTTAGCTCCTAAAATAAACTAACTTTTCACTGATGTTCAACCTTATTGTGTCGTTTTTAGGTGATTTCATAATGCGAGTATCCTACAAACACTTTTCCTAATGTGTGTTTGAATGAGTTGACAAGATTGCGATCCCCAAAAGAAGCAAAGCCAACTGAGAAACCTCCTGTTGGACTCTTCTCAAAGTAAATCCAGCATCACAGCTGTCTGCAAATCAACAGGTGATGTTTCTTTGAATGCAATGTCTTTTAAAACTGACCTTGCCTACATCAAAGACACAATCTCTTATTGAATCTGTCTGTCCCACAAAAACTCACAAGGTGGGAGCCAAAGATAAATGAATGCAAAGTTTTCAAAAAGAAGTTCTTAAGACATGTGAGAATCATTTTGAAGCTCGTTATCGAATTAAAAGTCTTCAAAGAGACATGCTACGAACGTGAAAAAGATGTTAACAATGAAAGCAGCAGATAAGTTTCCCATAATTGACCAAACAGGTGGAGGAAAAATAAAAAGCTTCAATCATCAAGCTTAATTAGCCTGTCTGGGGTTTTTCACAATTGTCCCTGCGGGATCTGGTCACACAGTGATAAACAACTATTTCCAAACACATTCTTCAAGCCCTGTGGTAGAAACTTTGACATTCTGAAAGCCAGTTGTTCATTTTTCTTACTTTTACATCACATTTGGGAGATTTTATCTGTCTAATGACAGACATTTGTCAAAACCTGCCTGATGAACTCCAGGGAAGATTCTTGTCAAACATTTATGAGTCGAAGGCTTGTTGATGATATTTCAAAGGTCGAAACCTCTGGCCTCTTATTGTCCTCCGTATGAGACGTGTAGCAGCATGAAACGAGCACCTGTCTGTCTGCGGGGGGGGGGGGGATTGTCTAAATGATAACGGGTTTATTTTAGTCTGGATTCAAGGAGGTGAAAAAGACAGGAAGCAGGACTGTCTGTGCACAGAGAGACTGGAAAGCAGAAAAGACAGGGGAATAACAAGAGACACAGGGTGGCGGTGGGCAGTTCCAGGTGTGTCAGTCGGCTGCCTGCCTGCATATTTGTGGTCACCGTAGTTACAGGATGGGGAAGGGTGAACGGTGTCTGGAGCAAACCAAGGAGTGGAGCCAAAGGTGTGTCTCCAAGAGCAGGAGACTGGGTGGGAAGCTTACTCACGAGAACGTTTTTGGCTTTGGGCAAACACACGTGCAAGGGGAGAATTTGAACTCAACCCAAATCAGGCAGCTACTCCATAAAGGAGTAATCCACCTTCTCATAAACACCTTTATGTATGAAAGGAGGGAAAACAGCCTCTCAATCTAATGAACAATGTAATATTTATCCAGACTTTGATCAGTTTGGTTGACGTAAGTTTTGGTGTCATTTTTCCACTCATAAATCACACTCAACATTTGAAAAGTCACGTCTAATATTCTGTGTGCTTATGTTCAACCTTAAAAGTCTCATAGCCACCAGATGACTAAACTCACAAACCAAACCAAAAACGACCTGTTGTTAGCTGGTACTGTATCGCAGGAACTCACCCCAGGATCCTGACCGAGTGCGTGCCATGTTTGCGGTACTGTGGCGGTTTGGCAAAGCTGACATCAGTGTGTTTGTAGATCCCACTCTTGTAGACAAAGAAGTCCTCATGGACCTCCATAATAGCTGTAAGAACAAACAAACAGGAATAATTAGAGGGCAGATTAAAACACATACTTTCCTGGATCTATAACAGTGAAGGGATAAAATCTTATCCAAATACAGATTAATTTAAGAGCAACTAGACCCCAAAGTCAAACACATTCAGACATCAGAGAAGGCTGATCTGTTTGCGTGTTCTTGTGTGTGTAGCTTGCAAAACTACTTTTTCTTATTTTGTCACCACATAACCTCTTTTTTTTTGTTGCTACAATTTTAAAGAACAGTCCAATACAAACTAGTTCGTCGTTATGAAGTGGAAGGGGAAAAAAAAATTTTCAATAAAAAAAAATGTGAAAAGCATGTTGTGAATTTATATTCACTCCTCTTATTCACTCAGCTTTCAGATTTAAAGCTGAGTTAGATTATAAAATAATATTATAGATTTTCAGCATCTCAGAGCTCTCTTTAATCCGTCGCCTGACAATAAAAGGATTATGCCAGGACTGCAAAGCCTGTAAGATATCCAACTAAACTGAAAGGTTTGGGCAAGGAAAGCATTAATAAGAGAAGACGTTCAGAGGCCCACGGTAGTGTTTTCATATGCAAAGATGATGGAGACATGCAGATGTGCAGTTTTACTGTTTCTCCCACCCAGCAAGTTTCCACTGCTTTGTGTTTGATCAAATAAAATGTGTAATATAACAGAAAATGTAAAAGTTCTGTGCACAAGGAATAATGAGTTCCAGTGAATGCCTTTCTTCTGTTGTAGATGACTCAAAACTCAAAAACAAATAAATAAATATAACGTAAAAGCTCACACACAAATGCCCTGTTAGCTTTGCGACAACGAGCAACTTTAATGTCAAAAAGGAAACTTGATATGAGGCCAACAAGTCTTCCTGCCTGTTCTTCTGAACAATAACTATGTGCACAAAGCCAGCAGAGGTTTAGAAAAGACGCACATGCATATTCACGTGACTTTTCTATTTTAAACTACTTGATAGTGGCCCAGATGAGCACCAGACACAGACAGACTGTCAAGAAAAAGCAGGTCAACCCCTTTGGTATAAAAGTTCATCATTTGACTCGGTTACTGGGGTCAGAGTTGAAACCCTGGACAAAAGACTCAAGGGTCAGAGGGTCAAACATGGCATCACAGGGTCTAGATATTAAAGTTTAGGATGCCACAGCATAGTCTGAACCTTTCATTTAAATGTTTTAACAGAACATTAGGAGTAAATGTTAATAAAAAATATATTTATTACCATAATTAGTGAAAGAACACAGGTTTATGTTAGGCAAAATGCCTTACCTTGCACAGGACCATTATCCATGATCTCCTTCATAATCTCCTTTTCCTAAAAGATGAAATAAAACAAAACAATTTACAGCCGAGGGAGAACGAGACACGCAGATCTGGTCTGAGAAACAGGGAGGATGGAATCTAATCCCCCTGGAATAAAAACTCAGATATAATAAATTGAGTTATCAGGGCCTGCTGCTCTTAATGCCTTCCATATTGACTTCAGAGGCAGTCAGGGGGCAGAAACAAGAGACCATAATGATTTGGAAAATCATTATCTGTCATTTAGCAGGCTGATGCTGGCAGATAAAACCCGAACCTGGCCGCAGGTCAGTGGAGATGAAACATTGCATCTTTTATAGTCAGAATCAAAAAGGCTCACTACCGTTTTACTGTCTGTAATCATTTAGTGTAACTCCACTGCTTTAGTGACAAGCTCTTATGTCCACTCATTGATATTTTGATTTGCTAAACTCTTGAAAGCTGCAAAGAAAATGGCACTCAGAACATTAGGATAATGTCATAAAAAAGAAAACACATCAATCTAATTTCCAGACAATCTCAAAGATTTTATATGGCAATAAATTATGATTTTATACATACATTTCTAAAGTGGAGTCTGTAAGCCGGCGTAATAATATCAGTGATTTGTTTGTCCATATATTTCAAATTAAATCATGCTAAATTGTAACAATTAGTATAAAAAAGCCATGAAGCTCTTGCAGATAAATTAAATACAGCACTCTGCATATTTAACATCTGCATAATAAGGATAATATACCAATAAATCTGGTTTGATAGTTATTGTACCTGTGACTATTTGCATTTTTATTTGTGACTTATTGCTTCTGTCTCAAACTATTTCAGATGGCAAAGACAGGAGAGCAAAGCAGATGTCCACATAAAAGCAGATAAACTTGCTCACATCAAATGTATTTGTCTTTCAATTCAATTATTTCATGAAAAGGTGCATCAAATTATTAGTATTAGTAGTAGGTGTAGGAGTAATAGTAGTAGTAGTAGTTTGTTCCTATAACTGTGAATATTAAATAAATATTATATCCCTATTAATAAGTGAGTATTTACAACAAGCTAAAGTTGCAAACCTCCTTTGTGTACAGATAATGCAAAGAAAACTTTTCTAAATTTCTACTGCATGAAATTAGGCAACTGTAATAAAAGATGAATTAATTTTTATATATATTTTTATGATCAGGGCTACCAATAAACATGGAGGTCACTATAGATCTGTTACTCAGCATAATGCTGCACGACACTCACTAATAAATCAAAAATAAACAATAAATCAAGTGGGTTGTGTTTACTGCATGATGAAGTTGGACAAATCCATGCATATTTTACATGGAAAATTAAATGTGGAGAATCTAATAATTTTTAACTCATTTTATATGTGGCGCTATGCGCATGAGAAGGCACGATTGTCGATGTTTATGTATGCATGCGTGCTTTCTGTGAGTTGTTGTTGATCCGTTCATGAGAAGTTTTTGTTGTTGTGCAATTCTTACGTTGGATGAGAGCCTGTAGGGCGGTGTGGACTGGTAGATGTCGTTGTGGTAGTTCTGTGTGTTGGGGCAACGCTGTGTGGCTTGCCTCTTGCCTCGCCCCACTGAGCGACTCTGCATCATGCAACGCCCCACCTCTGCTGGGGTTTGTTGCGGAGGTTGGTATGGGTAACAGTCATCTGTCACAACTCTTTAATAAAAACAAGAAGATCATTTCAGCCTTTTGTACACGTAAGAGTACGTTTATTTTCAGCGTGACACGCGAGGTTCTCACCCACGACGCCGGAGGTACCACCAGGCTCCGTCTACTCGGCCTCCTGCGCAGCCTCCTTGGTTGCGTGTGTCACAAGAGATGAGATTTTGGGGCGACAGCTGAGGAGTCATGTGACCCATGGACTGAATGGAGATTCGGTCTGATGCCACAGCTGGTGAAAAGACGCAAAGACTAAACATTGTGCCTGTTCATGCTTGTGCTTCTTTGCTCACTATAACAGTCAATATTTTTGTCTTCCGTTCAGAGTGAGTTCTGCTCAAAACCCACCTGCAGTTGAAAAAGCCCATGAGGCGGCACAGTTGCCCTGATCCAGCGGTTCGTGAATTTTCCCGGGCCACTTCTCCAGTGAGCTGAAGTAGAGCGGTAGATGATCATTCTGAGGGTCCATGTTCATCTGTAAGAGCAGAATAAAACAGTATTTGACTCCCAGGGTTTCTTGTTTGTTTGGTTGGTTTTGCGATTTAAACGTTTAAACGTTAAAGTATACCTTGAAAATGAATAAATCTGATTAACATTCAGCCTTATGTAACTCCTGGATAAAGAATGTGCAAACAAGTCCAGTGAGGTCAGAACAGTTAAATATTTAACAACTGTCCTGTCCATGTAAAAGGAGCAATTAAAATACTTTTGTCTGACAAGTTTGGGCCCCAACAAGATTACATAAGTTCGCTAAGCAACTCCACAGTGGAAGAGGCTTCTGCACAGGCAATTAGGACCATTTAGACCTGGGTCACACAAGAACCTTTGATCCCTGTTGAACCGTACAGTTACATCAGTGTAAATCTGAATGCATTTCTCAGGCATGCATTCATTCGCAGATAACTCTCAGATAGCAGAGTCGAGGCTGGACTCTCTCCCAGTCCGCCAGTGAGGTGTGATAACGGAGTAGACACTTCAGTCTGATGAACTTCCCTCTGTCTCATAAAGACTTTGGCTACCTGCACCACATTCCACTGATTAATGATGCCGTTATTCATAGGAAAGAGAAAGCCACTTGATATATAACTAAGGAATGTACTGCTGTTTTAAGGGTTGTGGTTCTGCAGGGTCAAAGTCCAAAATGCAGCCATTCTGACAAAAGAGACAAATTATGCAAGAATATGTTGGCAGATATGTTTTTGTTTGGGGTTCTCAGCTACAATGAGTCATGTAATCACAGCATCTCAGACTGTACAATTTAGGGGCAGGGGAGGTGTGAACGAGCCGTGATGCTGGTCGGGGCACAGGTAAGGACATGCCACTAGCAGGAGAAGGAGTCTGTTTGGGTGGGGATGGATGGAAAGCATGAACTAAACGGGGGTTGCTCTTTATCCTGCCTGCCTCATCTTGGTTGTTGCTCAATGTTTTGTTTCCGTCTTATGTAATCTGTCTGGGCAGAATGTAAACAAAGATGGAGCCAATGAGAGGAGGGCCTCCATTGCATACCAACAAAACCCCCTCATTAAGTGAAAAATGTTTTGATCGGGGCTCACTGGTGAGAAAGCATGTGGGAGCCTGTAAAGAAGTAAAAGACACAACCGAGTGGCACATTCCCACTTGCTGCTTAAGCATCCAGCCACCAGCAGTCACAGAACATGTCCTCTTTAAATGTACTGAACATGTTTTATGTTCAGTACATATAAATCACTATAAAATGATTTATAGAATCACTTTTTTCTTGATATTTTTTCATCTATTTCAGTCTAGGTGGACTATTAATGTGATCTATAAAGGTTTTGAATTATTACATTACAACAAAATTTGTTACATGGTAGTTGCGGTATCATACTATGGGATGTGTGTTGATGGGAAAATGAATGGAACAACAAGTGCAAAACATAAAAATTAATGCTCAAGAATATTTTTCTTCCATCCTGATAGAGCTTGAAGAATACTTCATACTCTTTATGAAGTATTTTAATTGTAAAAGCCTTAATTTCTAGGTGTGCAAAGATTAGAGAATACCCCAAAGACTTATAGCTATTTAATTTACCAAAGGAAGCTGGATGATAAATTAACAATATTAATATTTCTCATAAAAAATGTTTTATTTTCTTTACAGAAAAGAAAATATGCGCTCATTGTTTTCTTGTTCCATTTTATCCATTCATTGTCTAAACAGCTCATCGTTGTGGGGCGAAAGGAGGGCTGATGCTTTTCTCCAGAGGTCAATAGGCAAGAAGAGGGGCACACCAATCAACCTAAAATGTTTTTGAACTGTGGGAAGCCAGAGGACCCAATTGAACCCACTGGGATAACATGCAAGCTCTATGCAGAAAGACCCCAGACCAGAATTTGAACCAGGCAACAGCCTCTGCTGCAAACAATCCTGACAAAATATATTGACATTTGTGTTTGTAATATTACAAAATGTGACAAAGTCAAGGCAGCTTAGCCTTATTTACAGGGATGAAGATTGGATCTACCTGAATCTCATTCATGTTCATAACAGTGCTGGAAGGTCTCTTTGTTCCCAGTCTGAATCGGATGCCTTCATCCAAAGTCAAGCCATATAACTGACTGTAGTTTGCAGCTTTCCATCTGAAAACAGAAAGAGTAAAAAAAAAATCTTGCAACACGTGGATCACTATCTTCAGAAAGCCTCCACACTAAAACAGCAATTAAATGCATTAACTTCATGATTGCTTGTTTGCTTTATACCCGTAGTTTCCTCGGTTGACGGCATTTATGACGTCAGGCTCAATGAGGCAAGCATTATGCTCACACTCCCAACGTCCCGAGGACCCACATGTGCTGCAAGAAACCAAGACAGAAAGCATGGGGGGGTCATCAAATACTGACAGCACCTGCACAAAATCACTAGTCACATTTGTAAAATCAACAATGTATAAAACCAACTACAATAAAAACACCCAATCAGAGATCAGTGTGCAGATTCCCAGTGGGATTCCCTAAAAGGAGATTAATCAACAGAGGAATGCAAGAGGAAGAAACTGGAAAAAATATGGAAAGATTTAGGGAAACATTCAAATGAAGAAAACCAGTCAAGTTTTACAAGACAGCAAGATAAGACATCAGGATATGAATAATGACACACAGAGACTTTTATTGCTGTGATACTTTGAAGTGATTTACTTCCTAATGACTCACTCTGGAGGAGTCTGTCTGCATATGTTTGTGTTGTCTGACAATTGAGGAAGCACAGCTCTGAATATTCACATATTTCATATTATTTTATCAAAACAAACTATTTTTTTACATAACCTTATTCAAAAATATGTTGTTTTTTCACCATTTTAATGTTAGGACACAATAAGTGCTCCAGTACTGTCCATGAAAATTGTGCGTGACAAAAACTGAATCAGACAGCTGACTCACGCTGATGAGTCATTAAAAAATATGTGGATTTAGTTTGTCTTTTCTTCTTTTACGCATCAAGGTAAATGACTAAAACTTCCTGAAAATCTCTTAATTTTAATGATAAGCTGTTTTACACATTTGTTTTATGTTGCTATTGACCGAAGATCTTTAAAAGTTCAACACAGCTGAACTTACAGCAACGCAACAATGAATAGTTAAGAACTGTTTTAACGTCTTGCCAAAAGGTCTCCTTGATCCCACTTGATTTCCTAAAATCATTCAGGGGAATTGAACGAGTAAATTTCCTGTTTATTGTTCAAACCAAAAGCCAAATCTGTGAGAAGCAATTATGATATGAATAGATTTTAATGTCCGATGGGAACAGTTTGAATAACATCAGGATACAGAATCAGTCAGGATTTAGGCAAACTCCGTAAAGACTTTGTTTATAGAAGTTCCAAAAATTTGCTCAGAGCAAAGGTGGCATTTGTACACTATTTATACATGTTGATGAATATTCAAGACATAAAACTGTTCTCATTGTAAATACTCAATTGCTATCTAGTGCTCAGAGTTATGCCAGGTGATGTGAAATTTAGCTACTCTGCATACTAAATAGAAAAATAATAAATTATCTATTACAATTACAGCCTCTGCTTCTTTTAAAAATATCAATTTTGGTTTATTTTAAATACATACCAGAGATAATTTATTAATGCTCATTTACATCATAAATGTAGCATTATAAAAATGTTTCTACTTTAGGAGTTTTTCAAAAAATGAAGTTTTTCAAAAAATGACTGTTGATGACTGTAAGGGATGGTTCACCATTTACAAAGAAAGTACCTACCTGAGGCCATCCTGAGCAAGCACAATGATGAACAGGTTCAATTACCTTTTGCTCACACAGGAACCAGCAAAATGAGTAACTTATCTGATTGCAACATTTCCTGCCAAAGTGTCTAAGACACTTTGTCTTAGACTTGAGTTTATTGCTCAAGTTTGCAAAGACAATGCTCAAGTTCACAATTTCACATTAAGTTTAAAATAGGGGATTTTGATACCAACAAAGCACCGGCTAGTTTCTCAGTGGGAACATGAAAATATTTCGAGACGACGCCCTTTGGCCTTTCTGTTTCAACAAGAACACAGGCATCACAGAACTCAGAACCAGGAAGTCAAAAAAGCAGCACGTCTGCACAGTAATGACTGGGCCCAGCGGGATGTGTTTGAAGACGGAATAATGAACATAAAGAGAGATTTTGAAATAAAATGAGAGTGCAGTGATAAGAATGGGAAGCCATATTTAACATTCACACTACCTATTAAAAACAAAACAAGCACATTCATGCTCAGATGACATGCTGCATAGTGTCTCATGGTGTGTTTAGATACTTGTTATGCAGTCAAGATTTGAAATTAATGCCAATGGCTGATATCTAGATGGATGCACAAGAAGCCAAATCAAAGTGAGTTCTTCAGACTGTCCTGAAAGTGTGATGTTTCATAATGATTATGTAGAGACACAGAGAAAAGATCTCAGAAAGATACCAGACAGGCAGGAAAAGGTGCATATTAGGATTTTTTTTCTTTTTCAATGCAACACATTCTTTCCAGTCAGAGTCATTCCAGGCATCAACTGTAATGTGGAGAGATGTAAATCACCCTGCATGGCTTTTTGAAGCGTCAGTTCTGTATTAGCTTGACAGCCAGGCTTCCCCTTTCTATTACAACCAGTAGCTACATGTAGGAGAAACTGATTCAAGTTTTAAATGGCTTGACTGCTGATAACGAGACAGCTTCCAGGGAGCCAGCTTAGAGCTGGCTGTCAGCTCCAAGAGGAAACTGTGATCTCCACCCTGCAGGGCTAAGAGAACGCACATTGGCAAATTAATAAGTGGAGTAGGAAAAGGGAGTGTCAGTTTCTCCCCTGTGTCACTGTGTGGTGTAACATTTTCAAGAAGCCATGCGTATGGCCTTATGGAGCACGTGTGGGAGCTTATGCCTCCATGAGAATTTCTGCTGGATGGGGAAACAGGTTTAGGATCAGGAACAGAAAGACATTGAGCTTTCTGTTGACCTGCTTGGACTTAGCTTGGAGTTTTAATCCTTCTTTCCCTGTTAGTCTTTTTTTATAACATTGATCATATGGATTCTGACGTTCAAAACACACTCAGGAACTCCTGAGTGAAAAAAGTAATAAAACTCAGCATCACAGGCGATCATAAAAACACAATTACAATTTTGCAAAACACATTTAAGAAAATAAAGGACCTGTAGATACTTCACAAGGACAGAGAAATGTGTTCCCCATTCCAGCATCAGAAGAAACAAAGTACATCGTTCTTTTCTGGTTCAGGGGATCTTACTTCTGGTTGACACACTGTCCGGGCCAAACCTTTCTGTCGTGTGCTGCCTGACAGCTTTTGTGTGAATTGTGAGAAATTATGGCCTTATGGAGCACGTGTGGGAGCGTACATCTGTGTTACTGCACAGATGTACGCTGCATTGGGAGGTCTCCCAGTGGGAGGATTTTTGCTCTTGAACTACTTGTAAAGCATCCAATGTCCCGATTAGAGAGAACTTTGTTGTTCTTCTTGCCAGTTAAGTCGCACCACAGTTTTCTGTGTTCTTATGCTAAACATTCAGGACTAAAAATATGTTTTTTGTCTGACGATGTTGGGTGTCTAAGCTGCCAAGGCAGGCAATACAAAAAATGAAAAATATTATAAAAATATTTTTTCTATTCATGTTCTTTAGTTCCTTTTTATACAGTTAGGGCCAGAAATATTTGGACAGTGACACAGGTTTTGTTATTTTAGCTGTTGACAAAAATATGTTCAGAAATACAATTTATATATAATATGGGCTGAAAGTGCACACTCCCAGCTGCAATATGAGAGTTTCCACATCCAAATCGGAGAAAGGGTTTAGGAATCAGAGCTCTGTAATGCAGAGCCTCCTCTTTTTCAAGGGACCAAAAGTAATTGGACAATGGACTCTAAAGGCTGCAATTAACTCAAAGACCTTTCCCTCGTTAACCTGTAATCAAGTAAGTAGTTAAAAGGTCTGGGGTTGTTTCCAGGTGTGTGGTTTTGCATTTGGAAGCTGTTGCTGTGACCAGACAACATGCGGTCAAAGGAGCTCTCAATTGAGGTGAAGCAGAACATCCTGAGGCTGAAAAAAAGGAAAAAATCCATCAGAGAGATAGCAGACATGCTTGGAGTAGCAAAATCAACAGTCTGGTACATTCTGAGGAAAAAGGAATTGACTGGTGAGCTTGGGAACTCAAAAAGGCCTGGGCGTCCACGGAAGACAACAGTGGTGGATGATCGACGCATACTTTCTTTGGTGAAGAAGAACCCGTTCACAACATCAACTGAGGTCCAGAACACTCTCAGAGAAGTAGGTGTATCTGTCTCTAAGTCAACAGTAAAGAGAAGACTCCATGAAAGCAAATACAAAGGGTTCACATGTAGATGCAAACCATTCATCAATTCCAAAAATAGACAGGCCAGAGTTAAATTTGCCCAAAAACACCTCAAGAATCCAGCCCAGTTCTGGAAAAGTATTCTATGGACAGATGAGACAAAAATCAACCTGTACCAGAATGATGGGAAGAAAAAAGTTTGTAGAAGAAAGGGAACGGCACATGATCCAAGGCACACCACATCCTCTGTAAAACATGGTGGAGGCAACGTGATGGCATGGGCATGCATGGCTTTCAATGGCACTGGGTCACTTGTGTTTATTGATGACATAACAGCAGACAAGAGTAGCCGGATGAATTCTGAAGTGTACCGGGATATACTGTCAGCCCAGATTCAGCCAAATTCTGCAAAGTTGATCGGACGGCGCTTCACAGTACAGATGGATAATGACCCCAAGCATACAGCCAAAGCTACCCAGGAGTTCATGAGAGCAAAAAGGTGGAATATTCTGCAATGGCCAAGTCAATCACCAGATCTTAACCCAATTGAGCATGCATTTCACTTGCTCAAATCCAGACTTCAGACGGAAAGACCCACTAACAAGCAAGACCTGAAGGCTGCGGCTGTAAAGGCCTGGCAAAGTATTAAGAAGGAGGAAACCCAGCGTTTGGTGATGTCCATGGGTTCCAGACTTAAGGCAGTGATTGCCTCCAAAGGATTCACAACAAAATATTGAGAAAAAACTTTTTTGTTTGGGTTATGTTTATATGTCCAATTACTTTTGAGCTCCTAAAATGTGGAGTGTTTGTTTACAAATGTGTACAATTCCTACATTTTCTATCAGATATTTTTGTTCAACCCTTTAAATTAAACGTTACAATCTGCACTTGAATTCTGTTGTAGAGGTTTCATTTCAAATCCAATGCGGTGGCATGCAGAGCCCAACTCACAAATATTGTGTTACTGTCCAAATATTTCTGGCCCTAACTGTACATTCTGTTCTTTAAAAGGCCATCCCGTTAACCCTTTTGAAAAAGTTGTTGCTTTTGGTTTTGTTTTACTGTTTTGTGCTGCAGCGTTTCCATAAAAGTCCTGCAGTTTTCCCTGAGCTGAGGGGTCAGACTGGCTTGTTTTAAAAAATTTTTATGACTAAAAATAATGTTCCCAGTAAACATTATTCAGATGCCACTCTTACAATCAAATAAAGTCCCAAACTGAACAGACCACTGAGCTGTCCAGAATTGGACAAAATGATCAGTCAGTATAAACATAGCCCAGGCTTTGACAGTCAAGAAATTTAAGAAAAATGACTACATGAACTCTGTAGTCACTCTGTACTCGCTATCACTTAAAGCCTTTCCAGATAATGCTTTTATAAACGCTGAAGTGAGGGAAGGAGATGTAAACAAGTCCTTCAAGATCAGCAAAGAGGAAAAATAAATCAACACTACCAAGAAGATTCACAATGGGATTTACATGAGGAGTCAAAACAAGCACCAAGCAGCTTTGTCTCACTGGATCCAGGTTCAAATTTTTCCTTTGAAGTTAATAGCATTTTTATCTACACCAAAGTAGAAGATAAACAGGAAAACTACTTCAATTACAATCAAATTGGCCATGTAACTCAGGGCAACATGAAACAGCTGTCTGTAAACACAATATTGCTAATAGAAGATAAGGGTCTTGTTTTGTCTAAGTTTGAGTTGTGTTGTTGCTATTTTTGTCCTGCAGACACAGACTACTGAACTGTTATTTTATTGAAATACATTAAGTTGTGTATAGGGAATAATTATTGAACACATGAAGAAAAGGGTTTGCAAAAAAGAAAAAAACTAAGAGATGAAATCTGTCGGTGTTTAGAAAATGCTCCTGCTGTTATCTGCACATCAAAATCAGTTGGTTTAATAAAAATTGATGCCCTGTAAAAGTTTTTTATTTCTAAAGTATTGCACAAAGTCATATGAAAGGTAAAAGTAGGAAGAACTTAGTTAGTAATTGCAATGTTAACGCCGGAGCTGAACGTCTGAAGTAAAGATAAGCTGAAGCTCCTTTAACATTTGCTGCCTTAGATTGAACACTGAGCAAATATAGATGGTCGGATGAACCACTAAACTGAACCCTTTGGATTTCACTGCAAGCACCACATCTGGAGACATCAAGGTTCAGCACGTCATGTCAAAAGTGAAGGTTACACGTGGACACAGGATTGATCGGTCTATTTCACATCACAGTGCTTCATGTCACTCAAGAAAGGATGAATGGAAACCCCTTTCAGTTTTTTGTTCGTTAAAAAAAAAGCTATTTTGAAGTCATTTGTAGTTATAATATCGAGATTTGTGATTGTAACAAAGTGTGGTAAACGTCAAGGGCTATGACTGCTTTTGCAGGACACAAATGTGAGATAAAAGCATTTATTAAGTTGTTGTTGTTTCAATCACAACTTAAACTGTTTACCTTCTATGTTAGTATAATATTCTTGAATGCATGTACAAAGAACACAGAGAAAAATCCATCAAACAGGTGAAGGAAAAACATCAAACTTTGTGCAGCTGATACAAAAAAGAATGGAAAAGTAGGGCTTACGTACCATAAATTGCAGTTTTCTTTGTAGGTTTGCCCTGTAAAAAACTTGTTTCCATTTCTTTCACAGACATCTGAAAAGAGACAGAGATGGGGTTTAGCATACACGGGTTTGATGTGGTTAAACAAAACTGATCCTCTAACTAATCTGAAAGAAATACCAGCGCAGACTTAAACATAGCGATGCAAAATGGACACACACATATTGGGGTGTATATGCAGCAAACACACACATAATGCTTATGTGAGGTCTAAGTAGCTCTGAGCTTCAGTAATCCAGTGTAGGAATGTGGAGTTAGCTCCTTTCCTCCATTCCCATGGCTTCCTGGGCTCTCATGGTTTAACTATTTTATACTCTGCTTCTCCACCTCCACTGGAGTGGAGGGAAGGAAAACACTTCTTGTGACATAAATCCTTCAGCAAAGGAAACCATTTCTGACTAAGAAACCATGAATCAGCTTCAGCTTCTTTTTAAATCACTTTGACCCTCATCCTCTTGAAGTTTGGACCCTGCTACTGAGAAACTAGTCAGTGACAGACTCAATGACTCAGTTTATCTACCCCCTGATTTACAGTTGTTGGGGGTGTCAGCGCCATGTGGAATTTAAAAAATTACTTGGCACAAAATTTACTACAGGTCCCTGAGCTGATTGTGATTTATGGCCGAGACCTTCGGCACCAATCCTCCAAACTCACAGCTGTCTAACTTGGTCTGTCATAACTCACTTGCCGCAGCAAGTTACAGATTAAATCTCTCCTATTTTTCACTTTTGGAAGGAATGCATTTATTCCTAAAAGGATGGCTAACAAAGTATGATTTGGCTTCACACCTCAAACAGACCTCTAACCTGCTGACTAGAGAACACACACCTGCTTACGCCCCTCTTACCCTCGTTGTCTGTCTCTCCTACCCTCCACATAGTCCACATTCCTTCTCCTGATCTCGGGTTTAGTCATACTCCCCTCCTCCTCATTCCTATTTAATAAGTAGCTCACTGTTTCCTGCCCTGATCTCTGTCACTGAAGGCCTTTGCTCTCAATGGCACCTTCTCCACCTCTGCACTGAGAGAGCGGCGCTGTAGCCGCTGCGGTCCTACTGCAGCCACGTGTTCATTATTATGGTTGGAGGAGAGGAGTATCAGTTAATGTTTGCTTGCTGAAGTGTTTGCACTGAAATGGCCGAGGAGGGCAGAATGCTAATCGTATTTCCTGTTAGTTATATTAGTTATATTTTACCAGCTGTTTGACGTTTGCAGTTATTTTATAAATATTCAACCAACCGGTGTTATTTTTTAAATGATTTGTGGTTGTATCATTTCCTAATGCTGAAACTGTTGATAATAAATTGTGAAAAGTTCTCTACACTAAGAGCAACTTAGAAAAAATACCATGTGAATATTTCTTCATTTAATTTATTTTATTTCATTACTCTGACCTGGATTTTTTTATTTGTTTGTTTTTGTGAAGCAATTGAGAAGTGGTTTTTAAGCTCATTAAAAGCCATTTTAACTTTATATTTTCACCTGGTCACACAGAAATACTTGTAGTATCATAAAACAATAATCCAGATGGTGAGACTTTAATTTGTAAAACTACTCTCCAAAGTGGCAGAAAGCAGTGAACTTTCACACCGTTGGCTTTGATCAACAATTCAGCTTTTGCCAGTTCTTTAGGAAACATTGGACTGACATATTTAAATGTCCTGACAGAAATAACTGTATAGACCTGTAGAATGGAATATAATGCATTTGAATATAAATAATTAAATAGACAATTTATAAGTAAATTAACAAATCAATAAACAGATGTCTATCTGTTTTACTCTGAATCAACTCCTACTTTGGCATGGAAATATTTCTGTATATCTCCATAAAATGCATTCAAGTTTGTTGTCATAAGATGGGAAAAGTGAAAATGTCTCCCTGGAATGAATATTTTTACAGAAGATTTTACAGTGACCAACAGTGTTACAGGAGTTGTGTTAATTTTCAGGCTTTCAGTTCATTCTCTGATCTGAAACAAAGCTGGCTCATAGTTGTTGCAGATGTAGCTGAAACTTTGTTGATGGGTAAAACAATGTGTCACTGTAATTCATTTGTCGGTGTCAGCAGAGAGCTGTATGCCGCTGTGACTGAGCCTCAACAGCTCTGATCACGGATCCTTAGAAAAGCAAGCGAAGCACACACAAACACGTATCACCCCTATGTACCAATGAAAGGTGGCGGGATGCCCAGACAGCGGTTCCAGAAGTCCGGGCAGCAGTCGGAGACGGTTCGGTTGCAGAACAAATCACAGTAGCAGATGGTATCCAGGTAGGGCACGGTGCACAGGTCGTCTCTGCCGGGGCAGCAGCCTCCTCGCCTGTGGCAGTAGGAGCCGTACGGGTCCCTGATGCCGCCAGCATGCAGAGGACTGGCCAGCTCCCTTTTGGTTCTTCTGTTATGGATTCTGTCTGTGGTACCTTCCTGTGCAACCAGGAGCAGCACCAACGCAGTCAAAACAATAGGACCCATCATCAAGCTGCAACCAAAGAAGAAGAAGTGAAAATGTCTTAGACATGAACATATAAAGATGATTTTATTCCACACAAGTATGGACTTATGTGTCATTAAAACAAATTATTTTTTATTTTAAACTTCCAAAGTATGGAGGTTAGAGAGTAATGAATCATTCATTTAGGACAGTTGCCAATACCCCATGCACATTCTGCTCTATGATTCACACCCACACACATCCACCGAGCCAGAAGTTTGGCAGAACAGTCACACACACTACAGTGTAGTGACTACACAGAAGTTTGGGCAACATCAGGAGCTCAGGGTCCAAACAATCTCAGGGGATTCCTACTGACTGACCTTTTTTATGACTTTCCTTTAAAACAGCCAAGACAAACTGCAACCAAATTTGAAAGAAAGAAATGAAAACAACCACAAAATGATTCCTGGACTTTTGGGACACTGAATGCTTTAAAGCAGCCTCACAAGTAGCACGGTTATTAGAAGTAACATGTCAGAGCTCGTTATTTGTTTTTATGTGACTGTGTCTTATTATAAAAATACTTCCTTCTATAGTAATAACCACAAAGTCCAGTTTTTGTACATGTTTACATGTTGCTCTATTTTTTTCTTGACTGTAAACTTTGATCCATGCATTTCTTTGTTTTGGATGCGCCTTGGAGAGCGCTGGTTTCAGATTTCTGACAGGGTGGGTCCATGCAGACGTACCGGAAGAATTGCACAGCTGCTTACATAAATAGCATCTTTGATTGTCAAATCAGGAATCCACTCACAATGAACATTACGCACATAATAGCAAGGCTGTACTGTGCCTGAATGTGTTTTTTAGGTGTGCAATACCCACGCACAAAAACATGAAAGCAAATGGCAGTACAGGGTGGGCAGGAGGTCTGCTTTTTAAGACAAGAGTTAAGTTGAAGTAGATTCAAAGCAGTGCAATAAAACACCCACCCAGGTGTTCACAGAGCTGCTCTGGCCTTCAGGTCAAAGTTTTAATGGTGAGCAAGTTAATTCATTATAACTCTGATAAGGTATTGTAATGTACAACATATTCCAAAATATTTCTCCTCTCAAAATGGTTACAAATTTATTTTGGAAGTTACCAAGTATTAACTAATTAAACTGTTTAGTTTTCAATCAAGAAAATAAGCTTGCAAATGTCATGTTGATCAACACTAGATTGGTTACAAATCCAAGCATTTTAGGAAGTCAAAAGTCTCATTTGTCATGTTCTGCGACGATGAAGAGTAACGTGAAGGCAGAAATATTTTTTCTGTGCTTTTTTGATTACTGATCAGAAAATAGCATAAGGGTATTAGGAAACTGGGGAAAGTTTGAGTCAATCACTAATAGTCTAGCAAATAAACAGCACGCACTAACACATTAACGTGGCGAACCCAGTGGTCACTCATTGACTGCATTCACTCATTAAAAGATCTCATGATTGAGAGATAATCAATTATTTATTTACGGAGGAATAGCTGGTGCCAAAAATTGTCTGCTCAATCAAGCAAAAATAATTAGAAATATTTGAGTCAATAAAATAAGTCATCTCAGTAAAATCTTCCTAAATGTTGGTAATAATGACATTTCTGTTGACTTCAAAATTGGTTGGGATTTAAATAATTTATCCAGCAGCTAACCTCACTTAAAAGGTGTCCAATTAAAATACATGTAAACAGTTAAAACCATTTTGTTGGTGAAATTCTAACACTTTGTTTAACTGGCTTAGTAAACTAATGCTGGAGCTTAATTTTACTCCCGCTTGCTCAACAAAAGATGCCATCTGGTCGACCAGAGCTCAGGACAGCTGCTGTAGCCAAGCTACTGCAGCCATGGGGCAGATGGACCCTCACATACATACATGAGCATGCACGTTTTACACAGCAGAAGCTGAGAAGCTCAGATTCACAGCTTGTCACTGCACAGAAAGATTAGAGTTCAGAGGTGACATGACAGACATCTATTTCATCTCAGCAGCAATTGTTCAAAGAAAAACCAACTCCAGCGGTAGAAATGGACTCAAATTCAAAGTTTTTTAAAGAAATCTTTCTCTTTAAATTCAATACTTTGAAACATTGGATACTAATTTTACAGAATAATTATGGTCTTAAGCCTCTACTAAAATTAATTCAGCACGGTATTTTGATAGTAGGAGACTTTTTTAATATTCTCTCCCTATTCGTGTCACTGTTTCACTTTCTTTGGAGATATCATGGCACCACCCATCAGATAATTCTCTGTAGGTCTGTAAAAGGTCTTCCTGAACTATTTCCCTCTCACAGTCCTGTCTGTGAAACACCAACATGGGTAATTGATGGTCTCACAATCTCCCTTAAGTGTTGAATAAAACAGGTGAGTGAATGGATTGCAGCTCTCTGAGTGGCACAAAAGGACCAGACAAACACAAACTGGCTCATAAAATTGCTCAATCTATAACTTGCATTCATCTTTATATAATAAATCTTCTAGAATGTTGTACCACTCAATCAAACACCCAGAAAGTACATAAATACAAACAGCAACACCTTGACTAATATGCAGTCATAAATTACACCAAAAGAGAACAAAGTTCAGCAGATTTTTCAGAAATATGTTGAAGTAAGTTGAGAACAATATAAGTCTGAAAACTGTGAAGCTGCACCTGCCTGGAAGCCATCATAGGAAACAAATCTGCTGCACAGAAGCAAAGTCAGTTGTTACCTGTTAGTGAAACGGAAATCTTGAGTTTATAATCCAGCAGAAACATGCAGTTTGGTTGCTGTGCTGTTCAGGAAGTCATTCACAGGTAGCGAGTCTGAAAGGTCAGTCCTCCTTTCTCCAAGGCTCTAACAGGATCTGCTCTGTCAGTCTCTGCCTTCTCTATATACACGCAGAACGCACTGCTAACCACTCCCTCCACCCCCATTCACTCCAGGCCCTGTCCCCTGCTTCACTGCCTCCTGCAAACTCTCTCTTCCACTCATACAGACTTTTTTTTTCTAGTAGCTTCCTCAGTTTGATTATCTGTGAGCAGCCTTCCTCTCCTTATCGTCCAGAACCCTCCACGGTGAAATATACTCTTGATTCAGTCTCCTGTTACCCAATAAGCTGTCCCTTTCACTTACAGCCATGAATTTGCCCTACATTTACTGTGCAGAGTTAAACTCTATCTGAGGTGTTCACAGTAGAGAGTAAATGCTGACTCCTGCTCCTCCTCCTGGACACAGGTTGCATAAGCCCAACCCACTCGGCCTGGAAATGAGTGGACAGATTGCAGAAGACTTTACAGCGTCTAGAAACTTACAAACAACCCTCTGGACATTAGGTTTTGGCAGAAATTAAGGAAAAATGCTCTAAATATTAAGATCGTTTTTATTCTGTGTGATCCGTTATCCTGTATCTGTTTATGTCATCAGTTTCTGTTTTATTCCACCTCATTCACTCCAAGGTAAATACAATTTTTCCAGGTGGGACTTAATAAGTTAAATATTTTTAAATAATAGGTTTGATAGAATGAATCTTATTATGTTGCATTTCTTAATCAATTCAGTTTCAAAATAAGTGTATGCAGATTTGCCCTGCGACAGACTGGCGACCTGTCCAGGGTGACCCCGCCCCTCGCCCAGAACACAGCTGGAGATGGGCACCAGCACCTCCCGACCCCAATAGGGACAAGGGTGAACAGATAATGGATGGATGGATGTGTACAGATTTGATTTGCTTGTTTACTTCAGTGAGTCACAATCATAACATAGCAATTAAAACGTTGCAAGCACAAGCAAAAAACTTGATATATATTTCTCTTTATTGTTCTGCAACAGTTAAGTTGTCGTGCTGAGATGTTAATCACTAAAAAAAAAAAAAGCAGGTTCTCAAAATACACGAAGTGAGCCAATTTAGTCATCCACTGTTTTCTAGGCATTATTGATCGATTCAGAAGAGCGACATGTTGCTGAAGGAAGACGCAGCTGTGCGTTAAACCGCCCCCGCTCAATCAATAACCTAAAAGCTGAATTGATAATGGAGGCACAGCAGGGTGTCAGACAGGGTGGGGTTGGAGGATGGGAGAGACAGGAGAAACAAAATGAGTGACCACACATAGAGACCTACAGCTGAAAACATATGTTTACAAAAAGACTTATACAAAAACAATAAGTCTTTGTTTATAATCAATGTCTTCGATTCACACAGAGTAATTTTCTCCAGTTTTAGGTCAGTTAATATTGCTGATTTTGTTTTAACGAGGTAAATGCCAGAATAATGAGACGATATTTTTGCTTTAATTTTAGCTTTATTTACAACTTCCTTTAAATTTTTAAGCTTAAGTTTGATATGCATTTAAACAATTTATGAAAGTTGAGATGATACAGCTCACAATCTGAGTCAAGTCAGCGCGTATTTATAATTTAAGACGCACACAGAATATGCAAAATGATGGGAAAAAATGATAAAAATCAGATATCAGGGAGAAAGCCTGTGGACCTCCACCATCTGGCTTATCCTTGAGTACAATCTAAATGTCTGCAGGTCCTGCAAGTTTTAATCCAAAGGAAATGTCCAGACATACTGTTGAGAAAGGAGATGATCTCTTTGTCACCAGGATGGTTTGATTCAAATAGGATGTAGCAATCCCAGAACAAAAATAAAATAACTAAGTATTTTCTGAAGCAAGATCATTATCCACAGTGAAAAGGGTCGGACGCTGACATTGGTCGTAAGAACAATCACTGAGGAAGAAGTCATCTCCCAGAAAGCTCAACCTCAACTTTTAGAGACACGTCTTGTGGTCTGATGAAACCAAACTTGAGGTGTTTGTCTCATGTGATCATGGTTACATTTGAAAGGAGAAGGAGGAAGCTGAAGCACAGGTGTGACATCATCAGGTGTTGTTGCTGAAGCGACTGGCGCATTTCACTAAAGAGATGACACCATGCAGAAAGAACGTGACTTGGAAACATTGAAGCAACATCTCAAGAAATTAGCCATGAGTCAAACTTTGGTTCTCCAAACAGAACCCTTCACCTAACCACCAAGTAACTAGAACAATGTAAACCGCTAACAAGTCCTGACCTCCGGCCCAATTGCCTTAAAATTTATAGACAGAGAAGAAAAGGTGTGTGTGCATACACTCAAATTGATTTTTGTGTAATTAGAAAAAAAGTTTAATATATTATACATGACAAATATGTTCTTACCTACTTGCAAATATCAATTTTATCAATGTAATTCAAAATAGAAAATAGATGACTTCTAATAAAAGGCATTGATTGAAGAACTGTTTCATTTTGCAATTATCTTATCCAACACTTTTCAGGGAAATGTTCTTGTTGTTTGTTTATTTTGTTTTGTTTTTTGTTGTTTTATTTTTGACAGTTTGTTTACCCTCATCTATAAGTGTGACTTAAAATGAGCTTAAATTTGAAATGGTCTCAGACTATTACTGGCTGGAGGAGTTCTGGGTAACCGGATTTCTTTTCAAACAAGTCTATAATTATGTATTTAACAAGTGTTACACGCCTTGTTCCTCCTGAAACTAGGGGCCCCTGGGCTATCTTTATAGTGTTCAAATGTCACCAGACTCTCCATCATTATTAAACCACAACTGCACGTCATTTGGTGGTACTAACACATAAATAACTATGCATAGCTGCTGGCATTAGGCAAGTCACTTCTAGAGAAGAATGGTGATGATGCTCCTTCAACCGTAAAAGCAGAAGAATGAAAAGGCATGTTTGTAAAAGTCTGAAGACCCTCAGGAACTCATAAATGACCCCTGAATCAGAGAAGGCTGTCACCAAATGAGGAAGTAGGTGACTCATGTATAGATCAGTGAAAACAAGAAATGTGAATCACTTTAGATGGTTTTGAGAAGAATGTTTCTCAACATCTGTAGGCGATCTGTCATAAGACACACATATGGATGTACAGTCAATGTGTAGGCAGGATCCACACTACAGTGACTCAGACCTGACCTCTAAATTACCCAGAGCAGAGTGGTCTGCTATCAGATCAGCAGTGCTTCTGTTGGTGAGCTAATTCATAAAGAATAGACTGAACCATTGAGGATGAAGGCAACAATTGAGCCAAAACTTAGAAAGAATACTGCAGGGACACTCCGAGGGGAAATAAATTGTACATCCAGGCACACTCACACAAAAGTGTGCACTGTTTGAGATCAGTGTGTGTGTGTGTGTGTGTGTGTGTGTGTTTGGCATATATGTGGTTAATTTGGAGCATTTCGTGGAAATAAATATGAGCAGAATCTGGAACTGACAACCGAACGGCGTGGGCCGGTCACATACACACACAGTCATCCTGAGGAACAATCGTTCTCTTTTTCTGGACTGTTGCATCACAATCATCCCATGGTGCTACAAAAACATAGGCTCCAGCTGCGCTGCGTCAGAGTGGGGTCTGCACCCCACAGAGCAGAGACGTGTCCATTTTGACGCCCCTGGTGGGTTCCCTGTTCCCGGCTGATAGTAAACAAGGATGGGTGTGATGGCTCCACGAAATGCTGATCCAGAGCAGAGAACATCAGCAATGTGAATGTTTTCAATGTTGTTACTAAGAAAAACACCCACATGTTACTTTTGATGTGAAGTTCAGATATTTGGGAGAAAATTATTGCATTATTTGTTCTTCTCTGCAGCTGGAGCCTTGATGCCGATGGTTTTGCTCTGGAGAGAAATGGAGAGTACATGACTCAAAGAAAGTAATTTAAATAAACTAAATGTGAGTAATATGGAAAACTGGAAAGGCCGTATCCACGTCTGTTTCTCATTTTAAATTATAATTCTGCCCCACATTTTATTTAAATGGCCCAAATGAAAAGATGTGGGTCATTAAAATTGTGAGTTATTTCTAGACATTAAGAAAACAGAAACAACCATGACAGAAAATCTGTTCATCAAAAGGCCATTCAGCATTTCCAGTTTCGAATCTCGAAGTCACCTATCATGCTTTTTTTTTTTTTTTTGCTTTTTTGGGGGAGATTGTGGTAAGAAATCCAGCAGTTGTTGCTGCTCCAGCATCAATTTATTTCACAAAAGCATTGTGGAAACTACCTCAAAGCAAGAAATGTGGCAGAAGCAATCATTACATTCCTGATGAATCAAGAATTATTGACAGGTGGACAAGCCACAGGTAATAAATCTAGGATTTACCACTGGCACTGCATACTGTTTACAGTATTCAAGTTGTTTTTTTCTTACAAAGTGAGAAAAAATGACTTTTTAATATAATCAAAACAAGAGCCTTTGCTAATGCACCAGTCTGCTCATGAATGGCTTCGTTGGGAGTAGTCAAAGAGAGATGGGTGTCTCATTTGAGATACCAGTGGGAGTCATGTTTGCTATTGGATCAGAATGTGGTTTTCTGGGAGTCTGATCTGGATGCCTCCAGACATAATGAAGAGACTTTTTATGCATTCGAGCCAGAGACCATCTTAGGATGAAGAGGAGAAAGTCTTATCTTACCCGTTTTGCTTTTATTCTTCAACTTTACAAGATAAAATTTTTATAACTTTGTCAGCAAACATAAAAATGTGTCTAGTAAAAAGTGTATCAATTGTAATTTACAAGGTGGGCATGAGCATTAATCATTTAACTGTGACTTTTTGACAATTGTTGCAAAATAAAACATCATGGGGACAAGTGAACTCTACAACAAGGTAAGGCATCCTTCACCAGTAAAAGAAACGCCTAAGGACTTTTCTTACACATTTTATAGCTACAGCTGCTGAAGAAAAGGAAAGAGCCACATGTAAGAAAAAGTGCCAGCTAAAGAAGAAATACTTTCTCAAAGGAAAGCATTGACCTGAAAATGCATGACAAAGATATAAGATGTGAAACTGAAGTCAGAGGAAGTATATTAATCATGAAATGACTGTCTAAGAGGCAGAAATAAATCTTCCACATATCATATCTTTTGATCAAAAAGCCACTTTTTGTGACAATAAACACTAAAATTGTTTTAAGCAATTATGTTTTTAAAGACTTCCTAGATTGCTTTGTTTACGGGTAAATAAAACCAATGGTCCATGATAGTTTTTCAGATTACCAGGAGTCTTTCCAGGGAAATGTGCTGCATATATTCTTTCATAAACCTGACTTCAGTTTATTTCACAATCTCTAACTGTAAGAATTTGAGGT